CACAATTAACAAACATAAATAAACTCTAAATTGTTCAACTAATTAGATTTAATAAGAAAAAAATTATTAATTTGTTTAGCAAAAATAAAAGAAATTAATTTATCCAATATAAAAAAATTTCGGTTCTTATTTGATTCTTCAGTTCTCGGTCTAGAACCGAGAACTGAACTGAACCATTCGGTTTTCGATTCGGATACCCTTTCGGGTATTTCATATAAGAAAAATCGTTCGGTTCCGTTCGGTTCGAACATTTTGCCCAACCCCACGACTTGTCATGATGAGTGAAAATTACTAAGTAAAAAAAAAAGAATAATAATAATAATAAGCATTAGGTGTGTAAAGGCTTTAATTATATTCTTCTTATAAGGAGATTAATGAGAAGAGTAATGGATCACATGAAATGGGAGAATAATAAGTAGGTAGTAATTGTGAATGTGTGGTAAATTAAAGTTTGACAGAAAATTATAAGGAACTTATAATATTTCCAAAACAGACTTAATTGACTTAGAAAATATTTATTCAGCACCAAGAGTTCATAATCAGCCCACCTCTAATTTTTAGCTCACTTTAAAATTTAATTTTAATATCATCACGGAACATAAGAAATAGATTTCTTAAGTTCACTTGTGAGTTTTCTGTATACATAATTAAGAAGGGTGGAAATATGGAGTGAAGAAAAACAAACATATGTATACTCAATGTGGACTCGACTAATGTTCTGGCCCAAAATTAGAATTTAAAAAAAAAAAGAAAGAAGGGTAAAAGCAATAGAAGCTAATATCAACCAGGCTAGGCTTCATTCATATACTGCAGATGACAGCTATAATCCCCAGTTGCTGCTGGTGCAACTTGGACAAAGATGGACCTCAACTTACTGAACTAGGGTCAGAGTCGGTTTGCCCACAAAACCCGCAAAAAATTATGTCATTCAATCATTCTAAGCTCAAGAGGGTTTTATAGCAAGTTTGACTGGTGTTAGTGCTGTCACATGTTCCAACTTATACCTACTTGCACAACCGTGTATAGCATGAATAACATGTTCTTATCTAGCGTACCAGAACAGAGACCTGATCAAGATTTTGATGAAGAAAGAGATGACACAAACCTAGGAATTAGGATGTACAGAAAATGTTTCCGGCTTTGTATTGACAATTATATTGGCTATTATAGATTTGAAATGTCCTTTTTTCGTCTAATAATACTAATGAGCGTACTAAATGTCTCACTGTATTTGCTGAACACGGGATGAACAAAATTTCTCAATTGTCTTGTCTAAACTAGTCCATCTTTATGTATCAAACATGCACTACCCGAAGCTAATACCAACCTTGCTAGTTGCTCTGCAAGACAGTGGTGATCTCAGAGTTGCTGATGCAGCTTGAACAAAGATGCACAAATCATTATTTGTCACTCGATCATTCTTAAGACAATGCATTAAGGTTTTAAAGCAAACGAAATTGGTTTTAGCATATGCATAATTGCTGTCACATGTCCCATGCCGACTTGCACAACCACGATTCCAAGGTCAACATATTTTTAGCTAGTTAGATTATACTTTATGACATGTTTGATAAGATACAGCAAACAATACTAATGATCTAATAATATTATTAGCTTGGGAGGCAGCCCGAGCGAATGGAATGCAGGGGCAGTAACAACCTCCAAGAGCTGTTATGGTGAGACAACACCAATGAGTGGTGGCAGTGCGACCTACACCGAGGGATATTCGGATCAAATGAGGGTGTTGGAAACAGTTATAAGAGACATGAACAACCCTCCCTTTCTACTTGACATAACATTGCTATCAACAATGAGAAAAGATGCACATCCCTCAATCTACAGTGGAGATCTCACCCCACAACAAAGGGCTAATCCTGACCATTCAGCTGCTGATTGTAGTCATTGGTGTCTCCCTGGATTGCCAGATACTTGGAATCAACTCTTCTACACTGCTTTATTCTTTTTACATTAGTGCACGTTTGGTACGTAGATCGTACTAAGTGGTACAATGGACAATACAATCTAATTCTACTTACGAAACATGTCATTAATGTAGTAGTGTTCTTACCCCACCCCCCATGCCCAATCCCATGCCACAAAACCTATTCTACGATTATAATTGTATTGCTATCTACAAGTATTGATTTTAGTCCATTCAACAAGAGGATGCAAGTTCCCTCTTCATTGTATACAAAATATTAGGGACTACAGCTGGTGATTTATTTGGTTGTGAAATGAACCCTTAGAGATGTAGAGTAAAAAAATGCAGTTATATGAGCATATGCAATTTTTTTCCTGCACTATTTCATGTTTGGCAAAGCTTAAACAATTCACTTATAAGTAATAATTTAAGTTGAAAGTTAAGAGTTGTATATAAGTAGATTACTTATTTTCAAAGTATTCTTTTGTTTACTGTCAAAATAATTAATTTATCTATTTACAAGAAAAAGATAAACTATCCAAATTGTTTGTAAACAAAATTTTATATTTAATTTACTTTTATAGGACTGAATTGCTTTTTGAAGCTTAATAAGATCTGATAACAAGGTCGGCACTCAACTTTGCGTCGTATCTTCCACATGCCATTTTATAGGCGATTAGACTACGGTTTTAAACATCTTGTCTGGAAAAGTTTTATGAGGCAATCCATTACCTTTCCATTGTACTCCATATTTGAGGCTATGGACATCTGTTGCAAGCCTCGCTTTGGCCAATATTGTAAAGTACACTGCACAAAGTAATTAATGTGATAGTCCTACAAGTGACGACACTCGTCAGATTATAAATTTTCAACCTATGGAAGCCACGTGCATATGATGGCTATGGATTGAAATGATTGTTCTTTGACAAGTGAGTTGTTAGAATAAGGTCACGTGTCAAGCATCTAGTAAGCCTCGACTCATCTCTCTTGATTATAAATACTCACACCTAATGTCATTTAAAGGTAACTGAAATTGAGGTAAAATAGTTTTCTCAAACCTGACACTCATATTTTCGTCCATTATGTCTTTCACGCACTTAAATATTGTTTTTCATTATTGTCATGTCATGTGGATGGAGAAACCAATTCTCCTTATAATAAAGACTATTTTCTCTTTTGGTTTGAGATTGAATATTAAAATGGGATGAGATAAAAATATCGAAAAAAATTATATGTACAGATTTTTTGTTTACAAAATTTTTATATGTGCCTGAAGCTATTGTTTCCTCAATTTCTAAAGAATTTTCGCCGAGTCTTACAAGTCAAAAACTTTCAGTGCACCAATTCTATACGTGTAGCATTGGCCAAAAATATCTATCGAGCACTACTGAAATCAAACCGAGCATTTTCTTGATAATTTTAACCGATGTCAAAGGCTAGAAATTGAAAACGATCTATCAGTGGGGCGTAATGCCTTGTTATGGCTTCCCAAAATCTCTCAATGGATACACGTTACACGTTTGAAAAACCTTTTGACTAGAGTAGCTTTTCAAGGAATGTTGAGTGAGCCTCTAAAATTGGAAATGGATAAATCAAAGGAACAACATATTGATTTAGAAGACCAAAATCGCTGGATTCATTCATTGCATTAACTATGTCTGATTCAGGCATGCTTCAACTTTGCTTCATGAATTCTTGATAATCCAACATGAACAATCATTATGACAGTAACAAATTGTCCCAACAATACATGGTGACATCAAAGCTCGTCTGGCCATATCATATTGTTTTGGTTCTACAGAACTCAGCTAATCTCATTGTTCAGAGCGGTGCAAGTGCGGTATGCAGCAATGCTGAAGTTGTTGAGTGAGAAAGTTCTTGGTCCTTTTTGGACCTGGTAGGCTGTAACCCACAATTGGTGTCCATAATCTGTAGCTAATGGGAATACGATGTCTGGATGGAATCCTGCTGGGAGTTAATGCATCAGAACTCTCCATCCAGAGCTAATGTCCCGTTTGAATGTCACTTAAATTGGAGATCCTAGAAAATGTTGGCATTGTTTTTACTCAAAAATTGTCTCTAGAAATTACGAGACGTATTTTAATGAAATTAGAATAAGAAACCATATAGTGGTAGAAGGTTTAGATAGACGTTTATCTAGATTCTACCTTCTGCCGCTATTGTTGCAATCATTAAACGACTATTCAATAGCATCAATTTCTACCGCTATTAGCTAAATCTAATATTTCCATGTCAATAGGCTTATCAACAATTTCAGAAATGAGTTTATCAGATTCAATAGCATCAACAACTTTAAGAGTTGTCAAATAAAATCGCAACTTCATTTGCCATCTCTTAAAATTCACTCCATCAAATAATTCAGGTTTTTCAGAATACTTAGGATTAGATATATCTAATGCAGACATGACAACTAATTGAAAACATAATTTCA